TCAAAGGAGCACCGAAAGGTAGGCAGAACGGGCGGCAAGAAACCCGAAGAAAAAGTCGGACAAAACGGCCGTCCGCCCCGCGCGGCCGTCTCCGGTGTGCCGGAAGGGAAGCAGAAACACGGATATAAATATAGAGAAGTGCACGGCCGGTGGGCGAATAGAGTAGAAGATAAAAGATAAGGATGAACGGTCGAGCGAGTTCGAAGGGAGCGAAGCGGGGCGGTGAATCCGCTGCGCGGAGCTAAAAGAGTGAAAGAGCGAGAGCAGCCCGGAGACACCGACAACGGAATGAGACGGGGACTCGAAAAAAAGCGGAGAAGCAACGGTAACGGTGTAAACCGAAGATGAAGATGGATGCACATCGGCCAGCGAAGGGAGAAAGATAAGCGGAGGCAAGGAACGAACAGAGACGGGTAGCTTTGCTGCAACGAAGCTCGCTCGGTACTTACTCCCACACACACACAGACGGTTGCAAAGCCTTCCTAACGACTCGTGCTCGCGTGGATTCCGCGTCACGGTCCCGTCCGTGTGTACGTTGCGGCTGTGTCCCCGTTGGTTCCGCGTTCGTCTGCGTGTGTACGTGTATCCAGCCGCAGGAGAATACTCCTGGAAACGGTCGGCCGCGATTAGTCGTGATTCGGTGGCCGGCATCGCGCTGTACTCCATCGCGATAACGAGAAAAGATACGCTCCGCGACGCGTCGTTTATCGTGCCCGTCCGCCCGCCCGCCCGACCGTCCATCCGTCCGTCTCGCGCGGGGTAGAGTGTGTAACGCGAGTGGGTGCACGTGAACGCACGAGCGCCACGTTTTCGTGTACACGCGGGCCGGAGTGTGTTGTTTATTAGATCAGAGTAAGCCAGTTTGCAGTGACGCACGGCCGCTCGGAGACACGCCAGTGAACACCTTGGCTTCGTTGCGGAACGCGAGAGGTACCTTTCGTTCTTTTACCTTCCTTTTTTCCTCCGTTTTTCTCACTCCCCGTTCGTTTTTCTCGTTTCTCGCGTACTTCGACGCGGAGCAAAGCGCACCGGGTTACTTGTTCTTTGGTCGCCCGCACGGGCGAGTTGTTTGCGAATGTTCAGCGAGGATCGCGTGGGTTTCGAGCAGAGGAGCTGGGCTTCTGTGGGAGTACTTTCGATCGTTGATTTTCATGTGTTTCTGTTGGTTTCTGTGAGCCGTTGATTGTTCCGGTGGCTCTTGGGATTCTTTGCTTGAGGAACGTGTGAGGTATCTTTTCATGTTTTATTTGGTTTTGTATTTCTTCGTGTTTCGAGTACGTTGTGCATTTTGATCCTTCGTCAACTGGATGTGTTTTTTTGTTTATAGAGAGCGAGGACTGCGGGAGTTTGAGACTTGTGTGTTTTTGTGGATGTCCAAGGTTTTGTTGTTACAAGATTGCCTCTCGTTGTCCGTAGATTCTGTATGTTTCTTTGCGTTTTTCATCGTGTTCCGTTGATACTTTGATCGGCTCTTGGGTGAATACTCCGGGATTCATTCTAAAACGCGAGTGATACTTACTTTGTATTTCTTTTTCTCTGATTTTCATTTCACTTGCTCTTCGGTCGCTTCGCTGTTTGTTTTTCTTGATTAGAATTATGTGCATTTCACGTGTTTCCTTCGATCCTGAAGATCTGGGGATCTCTGTAACCCCTTGACGTGTTATTTACTTTCTTCACTAAGCTCGTGTAATATTTTACTATCGACAATTTAGAAGAAATGCAAAATTGTCCATTCTACAAGTGGAAATTTAATTCGAAATTTAGAATTTGAAAATAGTTTTTTTGCTTTGATCTCCGGGCAACGAACAACATTGATCGTTGTTAAATTAGTCTAGAAATCTTCTAGATTAGTCTAGATTTTAATTTGTTATTTAATTCCTGGGGTAGTTCAATGTACGTGGATCGTGCGTAGATTATGTTTAAAGGGTTTGTTGTGGTTTCAAATCGCCCTCGAAGAAGCGACGTTCGATGTTTTCTTAATCCGTGCGAGATTCGTTGTATTTACTGATTTTTGGGTATAAACTGTCGTGCGCTGTCACTGTGTTAGAAATGATTACCGAGTTTTCCCCGCGCCATGTTTTTCTTCGCGCTCGTGTTTTTTGTTTGGGGACAGCGCCGCTCGCGCGGACGTGTTTTATTTGACGTTTGACACTGCCTTGGATTTTCTGTAGTAAATCATTCTTCTAGAACTTGGGTGAGCTTTAGTTTATTTCTTCTTCATTTTTTTTCGTTTTACTCCACTTGTTTCTCTCCTTTTCAGTAACTGCTCTTGTATGAGATGTAGAAACTTCAGAAACACCTTCTTTTATCATGTACACTCGAGATTCCTTTCTTTCTCTTTTATCTCCCTTCTAATTAATTTTGTCGAATTATTCGAACTGACGAGAGGCTTCGAAATTTCTGATAGGGGTTGTAATTTATTTATCCAAAACATTCCCATCCAATGTTGTTGGTTCAATTTTTTCGTTGTTTAGCACGATGAAAATATGCATGGAAATGTCAGATTTGATATTTCTACCGCATCGTGTATTTTCATCGAGAACTCCCGTCGACTCGCGGTCGTCCTTGTTCATTTTATACCTGTTTTTCTTCGTGCTTCTTATTCCCCGGCAAGCTGTGCATTTGCATAGGGAATTTAGATTTGATATTGCATTGGGAAACGGAATCGATCCGAATGACGATTGGATAACGGAAAGCCGCAGGAGAACCTTCGTGAACGTTCTTCCGGTTCATGGATACGCGTATGTAGTTTGCGGTCAGCTCGGTCACTCTTCGTCGTATAATATGATTTAACGTAGCCATGTATGCATCTACATATTATTCATATTCTACTGTCCACGTTAGAAAAACGTACAAGAAGATAACTCTAGGCATTGTTGTTTTATTTTTAATTATAATAAAGAGTCTCATTCAAATTCATTTCGTCGAATAAATCCTCTTGAAACAAATGTTTTTTTCGATAAATATATTATTTTTAATTATATTAGAGAATCTCATTTAAATTCATTTCGTCGAAGAAATCCTCTCGAAACAGTTATTTTTCTGGATAAAACTTGAAATGATAGAAACAAGTCTTTTCTATTATTTATTTTCACACAAGACAAGATAAACTTGCAATAATGACGTAACTCAATTCAATGATTCAATATTATATTTTTCATTTCGCGTATTTTGCTTTGTGAAATCGTGCGGCATTCAACGTGTTAAAAATAAATTGCAACGTCAGTAAATATTATTTTCTGGAATAAATACTTAAGCTCAAAAAGTTCAATACGGTGATTGTTACGTGTACGATAAATAGAATTGTATATAGAATTCGTCATTTAATCGAAGGTTAAATATATAACAGGTGTAAAATAAAGAATTCCATGTTAACGGCCGTTGTGCGTATCTATTATCGTAGACTGTATTAATGTTTAGTGTGCTGCATTAAACAGCTATTATGTGAATCGAACAAGCGACGGTCTACGCAACCAATACAAATGTCGATCGCATTAGTGCTCTCGCGTGAGATGGCTGTTCGAAGTCCTAGAAAGGCGCCGTGGCGGAGAATTACAAATATGTGACGAGCTCTATTGTCGCCAATTTATTGTACGCTACGACTGTGTATACACGCGTTCGGATATAAAGATTTTGTAAAAGTTCATTTTAACACGGGAATTGAAAGGATAAAAATAAGTTGTCCTGATTTTCTTGATTTCCGATTATTTTACACGCAGTTGTAGTGGGGATTGTCTTAATCGACTGAAATTGTGTAAGTAATCATCCGGAGCAATCGAGGGAAAACGGCCTAAACGAAGAAGGTTAATGGCTCCATCTTAATTAAGAATCTTCCAGTAACAATAAACTTATTTATCTCTCTCGTGGGAACGTCCCGCTAATATCCACTGTGGATATCTTTACGACACGTTTACTTTAACCGTACAACAATTAGACTTCGGACAATTATACAGTTTCATACTTTTATGGAGCAATTTGCTAAGATAAGAGATAAACAGAATTTTCTCCAAGGTCCAACCACCGGGAGTCTTACCAGCTTCCAGATAAGGGAAGAAGTGTTCTTTGACGTTATTAGAATATTCATTTGGGGTATTAAGACACAATTTATGGAAACAGCCTGCTGCAACGTGGTATAGCAATCTTCAAAATTCCAATTTTTTTCCATTTTTATATGTGTTGTCATACGTGTTACTAAGCGAAAATTTCATTGTAACGAAGGAAATAAAGTAGCATTGAAAGATTTTGCTGTTTCTTAGGTAATTATAAGGAAGGTAATTATAATTATTATAAGGTAATTATAATTATATTCTATTGTAATTACATTATATTATATTATAATTGCATTATATTATGTTATAATTATATTATATTATAACTATATTATATTATGATTATATTATATTAGACGCATATAATAACTACAAAAAACCAGAAAATTAACTAAACAATTGAATATTACGCTCCTTACATTCTACATACACTAGAATCTCAATTACCCAACCTATACGACTAACAATGAAAAGAAATATGTCTAAACACATTCACAAAATTCAGTCGTCCATATTCCAAGTCACTCCCAAAGAATCAAAACAATAAATCGTCAGTTTAACCAAAACGAACAAAAATTCAACAAAATTCTAAACGATCTAGATCTCGAAAAACGCGATCGACATAATCGAGCTCCCACTACACGTTTCTCGAAGAACACTCCTCAGCCAAAGCAAGCGAAAGTCCCCCAGCATTCTATGCGCCAACCCCCGCTCGCAGTGGCGCGCGTGCGAGTCACGGTACCATAACGTCCCCGCCATTAATGGGTCACCGCGGAAGACCTTTCCATTCGCCGCTTTACCGGATTCCGTCTAAACGTTCCCCCCGGACTAAGAAGCCCTCGTTGCCCGCTCATTAAGACCGCGCCGACTTCGTTTCATTAAAGCCCGCCCCTCGCCGCGATTTTTCCTCGTTACCGCGTTCTCAACGGCGTCTCCTCTTTTTCCATGAAGCCCGGAGGAGCCAGGCGAAGGCGACAGCCCGCAGCAGCCGGACGAGAAGGTCGAGGAGCTCGAGCACCCTTCGCGGCGGACCGCTGACTCGGTCAAGTGTCCGAAGCCAGACGACAAGGAGTCTCGAAAAGAAGAGGACCCGGCAAGAAGATCGCAGGAGTCCCGCGATTATGACAGGACGCCCTGGCAGCAGAGGCGGCCGGTGCTGGAGGAAGTCTCGACCAAGCCGGCCGATGACGCAGTGATCAGCAAGGAGCACTCTCTCGAGTATCAGAGCCAGACGCTCGAGAGCCAGCGTGGTCTGGGGTCTAGCTCGTTAGAGGACCTACTGAAGACCATCCCTGACACCTGGTCGGCGATCAGAGGTGACCGCGTCGAGCACAGCTTCAAAGAGACCCAGTATTCCCCGAAAGAGAAGCAAGACGCTGCCACCCAGACCGAGCAAGAGACGAAAAGCACGCAGTGTAGTCCCGAGCAAAGTGTCAGTCCTTCGGAGATCTCCAAAGACAGTCCCTTGAGAAGGTACTATAGTCCTAGGAGAGAGGTAGAGACTCAGACTCAAGGCGAGAACAAAAGTGTCCAGTGCTCTTTGGACGATTTCGGTGGCCTCTCGAAGACCCCCGACTTAGAGAACAGTTTCGACAGCCCGTCCAGGTCAGAGAAGAGCCAGGTGAAGGAGAGCAAAAGCATCCAGTGTATACCCGAGGATATTTCCACCAGTCCTGGTAAGACTGTCGGTGATCAATCATCCGGGGTTCAGAAGAGTCCTAGGAAAGAGGCTGAAGTTCAGACTTATCAGGAGTCGAAAGCCGTTCAGTGTAGCGATGACGAGATTCTAGAGGCCGAGTGCAGCGCAGGAGGCTACCGCGCTAGGTTCCAGAGCAGGCCGGCCAGCTACGCGTCGCAGAAGACCGAGAGCTCGCCGTCTTCCGGCTGCAGCTCGCCGTGCAAGCTTCCGACGGTCGCGTTCGCCGAGGACAGGGCAGACATGACGGTCACGCAGAGGGAACACGACGGGAACGTGAACTGGTCCAAACACTGGGGCCCCGAGAGGCTGGTCGAGATCTACAGGGAGCCGAAGACTAGTCTTGGCCTGAGCATCGTTGGCGGAAAGGTGCGTAACGCGACACGGTGTGTCGGTCGGAGTGAGAGGTTACGGTGGATGGGTTTCTTTGCGCGCTACTGGTTGGTTGGGTAACTTTGTTTCTTGTTTCGTTAGTGGGATGGTGGTTTCTTCTGGGGATATGGAGTTTTTGATGGTGATTCTGAAGATTGGAGGGAAGTTCGAATATTTTAGTGGTAATTGATACTAAGTGGATGGGTTTTTGCGCGTGGACTGGTTGGTTGGGCAACATTGTTTCTTGTTTTGTTAGTGGGATGGTGGTTTCTGTTCGGGGTGTGGTGTTTTCAATGGTGATTCTGAAAATTGAAGGAAAGTTTGAATATTTTAGTGGTAATTGATACTAGATTTACGTCAGTTTGACGCATATTGAATTTTTTAACACTTAACAATGGCGCCATTTAACCCTTTGCGGACGAATGAGGTTTCGGCAAGAGGAAATTTTCGTATTTGGAAGATCAGGTCGTGGACAAATGATTTAATTACTCATCTTATTATTTTTATTACTGTTATTGTTGTAATATTTACAACTAACACATTGAGTATCGTGCTAGGTCACTTCTGTAAATTCGTTTTGCTTGTTATCCATGTTACGGTATTTTTTAAGTCTATTTTGATTGAAGCAATTATACGAGTACACATGACAATTTCCCGTTCTTAAAATTCTAATTTTCACTCATTATATGAACAAATATCTAGTCTTCTAGGAACGATGGAATAAAGTGTAGAATAAATGTCCGTAAATCTAGTGTCAATTTGATTGGTAGATTAGAAATTATTTTATAAATGGAGATTCTTGGGTGATGGTTCACGAAAATTGGTATTACAAAGGAATTTGTAAATTTTCTTAATAATTGATTTAATCGTCAGATATGAATTTTCTAAATCTCTGATTCTTTCATTTTCAAATTTTTAATAGTTTGTAACCATTGAAATAATAAAAATATGTTTGTGACATTTACTTAAATGAATAGCTTCATTTGGATTCTATTGATTGTACTAATTACGAAGTAATGGAGAAGCATACTTTTATTAAACGTAATTCTTCAGCGTTTATTAACGACGAACTGGATCGTGCACTGAACTGCTAATGGTCCCGCGTTGATGGCATTGGTTGATAATTTCAGCCGAGCGGTACACACGGTACATGACGTACAAAGTTGCACTGGTATAAGTGCATTAATATACCGAACGGCTCCAAGTCACGACAGACAACTCTGTAACCGTGCAACGTAACAGTATTGTCGTTGTTAATTTTTTCTCGCTTTAATGTCGCATGAAAAAAATTGCGCCGGACGTGCAAAATCGCACGAACTTCCGTCTTAATACGTCACGTCCATATATACACGTGTCGAGTAACATAATAATCATACAGTCAATCCTTTTTTCTAATTAAGTTACCTCATCGTTTCCAACTACAACGTTGCAGATAATTTAACCAACACAAATAGAAACATTCTAAACCACTGCTCCATGTTTTACTAACAAATTCCTACGATCACCTCAATTATGTTACAAACAATCATTTCTCATTTCTGTCGACTTCATAGATATCATTCACATAACTTCCATTTTCACGATCAGTCAACTATTCCTTCTAATTTTTCATGTTCACGTATAAAGACGCATTACCGCAATATTCAATCATTAAAAAATCTACTCGAACCAAAGACAGTTTCACAATGTTTCGTTAATACGTTCGCTACCAGCGTCACATACTTGTGACACCAGCAATATTGTATTTTACATAAAGTAACTTAATCCTTTACGGACGAAGATTGTTGAAAGTATACAGAATCTTTCGCAGATTCTGCTAAATTAAACAGCGAATGCTTATTTCTTGCTGCACGAATAGTTCAATCATTTGTTCGCAACTTGCTATTCCAAACATGGAAGTTTGATCTCAGCAAAATGCCGACATTCGTTTGCAAAGGGTCAAATTATTCTTATAAATATTGTTACTTAAAGTTACAAGCTACGACATTACATTTATGAACTCAATGACTCGTTTGTTTCATTTCTTCAATATTTTGTTTAAATTTGTTGAGTCGAATAGAATATTACAACGTTGGAGATCGTCACCGAAACAAACGTTGGTAGTGAACGTGTTCATCATATCGCCAAGTTTGGTTCCACATGTCAGAACTGTTTGTCACACAAGATCGAAACGTGTGTTCCAGGTTGACCTGCACAATGGCAGTTCTAGTAAGTCTCAGAACATATCTGGGATCTTCATAAAGAACGTATTGCCCAACAGTCCGGCCGGGAGGACCGGCGAATTGAAGGTAACGTATTGTTTCCATTGTTCTTTCGAGTTCGATTGTAATCGGCGCGAACAGCCTCCTTCGTACAAAACAGACAAAAAGACAGAAACGAACGAAAGATAGAGGGAAAGAATCGACGCACGAAGGAATCGGTGTCGAGCGAACGATTCAATATGCGCGTCTTTCTGTTCGCGTTTACTTTCAGGTCGGGGACCGAATAATCGAGGTCGATGGCGTGGACCTGCGGCACAGCACGCACGAGCGGGCGGTTGAGGTCATACAAGCCGCCGGAAATCCTGTGTGTCTTCTCGTCCAATCTCTGGTGCACCTGGTGAGACCTCGCCACGACCAGGAATATCGATGTACTCCGTTCCTACCGTGCCCTCTCCCGGCAATCCGTCATTTACTGATATTTCAATCCTGTTGTTGCTGAGCACAGTTGGGCAAAATGTAATTTGATCAGTAGATTGGTAGAATGTAGGTCAATGTGGACAATCGAAACGTTATTTCGGATGTTTCTTCTTAGAACGCAGATCTTCGTGAAAAATTGAAATGTTTCTTTCTAGAATGCAGATATCTTTATGGAAAATTTAAATGTTGAGTTATTTCAAATGTTTCTTTCTAGAATGCAGATCTTTATGGAAAATTTAAATGTTGAGTTGTTTCAAATGTTCCTTTCTAGAATGTAAACTTTTATATAAAATGGAAATATTGAATTATTTCAAAATATTCTTTCGTTTCACTAATCATTGATTATTCAGGAGAAATACATTTAGATAACTTTTGATTCATGAGACCAGTATGCACATTAAAATGCAATAGAAGCAGTGTTTTAAGAGAATAAATAAAGTTTTATTTATGATCTTAGTTAGTCTTCTTTATCAATGAGAGTATAAAAATAGGTCAACAGTATTTATTCTAATCAGAACTGTTTATTCATTTCCAAAAAATGAATACTTTGAGGCATGTTTCATTGATAATTATCGATTATTGTAGCTGAATGATCGTTAGTGATTTGATTAAATTATATTTCACCCAACTCTGGCTGAGTCAGTTGCATTTAGTCTCAGTTATTGTGATCGGTGACTACAGGTGGCTGCGAAATGTGTGGAACAAGTGAAAATCGTAAACATAAGGAAAAAGCGTATTTATAAAGACAGAAATTACTCTTTATCATTTTATTCTTTCGATGCGTTGGAAATGTTCCACATTTTTCTATCCCACTGTAGAACCTAGTATTTTTAGTTTTTGATTTTTATCAGAGTACCTTTAGAATTTTAGATCGTTGTGAAAATTTTGTACGTTTAACGATTATCTAACAGTATTTTCTTTATTTAGAAGAAAGAATAAGTAAACAGAATTTACACAACAATCGTACAGATGTTATGTTTTACATCCACGTTTTGTTTCCCATAAACCGAAAGTAGCAATTTATTCAGCAAGTTTTGATTCTTTTTATGTACACTGCCATTGTTAGTTCCTATTTTCCTTTTTTTTTCGCTACAAAACAACACGAAAGAATACACCTTTGCTTTATTTGCTTTCGAATTTAGCTGAGTATATTAGTAGAATCGTATCCTTTATGCGATCTGAATCTTCATCGGTATTTCATATCGATCAGTGGAAAAAAATTACGAATTACGCTGTTATCGACACTCTCATTATATTCTATTAAATTTCTTGCTTTTTATCATTCGAAATCTTGTTACGAGAGTTCAGACTTTTCAGTGGACAATCTTCCATCCGATCGCAACATTTTATTAAAAGTGTTTCAAAAGTAGTTCCCAGTCGGAAAGCATAAAACTGCAGAGATGCGAGATATTGTGTCAAACTTCCACCATAAAAGGAGAATGTATTGTTCGAGCGACTTGTCACGAGCTCGGACAAGAATTACGTTTCTACTCATTTCAAAGTCCAATCGAATTACAACGCGAATATTGTTCCGAGAGTTCGGGTAATAACAAATTTCTCGACAAGTTCAATCTTTCTCGTTCACCTTCTCCGACCATTATTACTACTTTCCTATATTTACAATATTATAAAATAATATTAAGCTTATTAAACAGTATTTTAAGATTTCTTTTATTCGTTGTTCAAAGATTTGTTATATCAAATTCAAATATAAATGATCAATTTAAACAATTTTAGAATTCTAACCTTTTGCAGTCGAAAGTTTTGCAGTGGAAATATTCGACACTTTTCAGTGAGATATAGACATTCTTTGAAACTAATTAATGAGTTTTTAAAAAATTATTTTATTTTGATATTTTACATATCGATGCATTATACAAAGCATATTATTATATATAAGATTGTAATTTTGCTATGTCAAATCTAGTGGTAACTGAGAGTTACCTCTCGAGCGCAAAGGGTTAAAAGTTTTATAATTCCAGAATTCAAACAGCTTTATAAATTTTGGAATTTAAAGAATTTTGTACATTTCAGAGTTCAAAGAATGTTCCAAGTTTTAGAATTTACAGTTAAACAATTTTCTTTTCATCGGATATTCTGCAAAATTAAATCTAGGGCCGTTAAAGGTTCGGTAAAAATAAACTTTCAAGTCAACGTTATCGTTCATAAACGAGTATCGCATAAAATCGTTCGAAGCTACATAGTAGCGGAACGTTGCAAGCATATCGATTAATGCATTAAAATTTAAACCATACCATCATACCCCGGTGACATTTCTTCTTCTTCCTGCCACCCTTTATGACGAACAATATATCGCACCCTTGAGACACGCTGGAATAGCCGCCAACTACGGTGTATCTCCAGAAAATCTCGCTTCCTGCGACGTCGAATTAGCTCGACGCACAGTGCGACCGTCTCTGGACAAAGCCCGAAAATTCCACTACTCGTATATGGAAAATTGAAGGTTACCAATGTATTGCTAAGTAGTTTCTGCTGTGCAAAATAATTTTCACTTCAAAAATACAAATTTTATGCAAATCAATTCCGTTTCTCTATTTATATAACGTTGGAATTGAAACGCGAAATATCCATTGTCATCGAAAAAACTTTATAATATCCCCATAACGTTAACAAAAATGTAACCACCATATGCTTGGATCTATACCTTATAACTTTTGTCTGAAGCATTTGTTTGCATCACTCGTACATTTGAAGTTATTAAAGGTTTGTCCAGAAAATGGCCGTCTCCGCACTGTGCAAACACGAGGATTTCCTGTGATATTCATCCTTACTTTGTCCTTGCGTTTCTCCTCCCGCGCGGTTTTCTTCGATTCCATTTTACTACGTCTCCGGCGATGCGACACGGTGCTCACTGAAACTTTCATCGTGGCCGTCACGTGCGCGGAATTCACAAACAACGAGGATATCGAAGCGCTCGGAAACGCTCCTTTGGACCCAGTATTCCGTCCTTTGCGAGACTGAGCGGCGATATTAATAATAATGACAGTTTCTTGACAATTGACGCCGAGTCTCGGGTAGAAGAAGGAGATAAAGGAATTGATACTAAAACTATCGAGCAATCAGAGTGACTTGTTTCCAGCTTTTCGTCAAAATTAGAACAACACGTCTTCTAGTCTTGTATCTGTGCAAATACACGGATTTCATTGAAAATCTTCCGCAACAGTGCCTTCATAATTTAAATACTCGTAAAATAAACATTCTGAAGTGGGTCAATTTGACGCACCTGCTAGTTTTATTGTTAATCAGAAAATGGAATGGTAAACATCGTCGCAAACAGAGAACGAGATTTCGAAAGAACTTACAAAGTTAACATACTGAGCTTGAAGTTCAGTTGACATTTGTTTTCAATAGTATCTGGATTTTGTATCAAGACAGAAACGGCGCAGAAAATAATTGAAAACGGAAAATATAATATCAAAACGGAAATCCAAATACGAGGAGCATCGTGAGATACAATTTTTCATTGGATCGAATATTTATATTTGTTGTGCAACGATCCGCGTTGGTTTCATTAAGCGCGACAACGAAAGCACACATCGGATTTCATTATTTATGACCTAGTGCTTTAGAATATGAAAAATTCATATGAAAATCGAGTTCCAAATCAAACATTTCGTGGCGAGATCGGAAAATCCAATTGTCCGTGAAAATTTCAACTCCCACGTGCGGATTGGGAAATAACCCTTTGCCTTATAACCCTCATTTCTTCAAAGCCGAAATTAAGTTTATTTTTCTCTCGTGAACAGTTAACCTTCATAACAAACATAAACTTCCAATAAAGATAGAATCCTTCTTCTTCAAATCAATCGTTCACTACCGAGCAATTAGAATAACTTACTTTCAATTTTATAAAAATTAGAACAATGCGTTTTTTAAGATTCGAAGTCCGGTAGTTTTAATGTTAAGGATAATAGAAACTTACAGAGAACAGTTGTGAAAGAAATCTTAAGGCAACGGGTTAAACAAGAAGCATATTAACCCCTTGACATACAACGACGCCTGGAAAACGTAACAATTTCCAGCTCTCTAATAAAGATCAATTTTATCTCGTTACACGTAGACACAAGTGGAAGATCATTTTGCCATTACTTGTGTTCGCCATTTAATATGTTCCTGTTTTCAAGTTTCTGTAATTTCTATGTCTAATGGGGTGTATTATTATTATTATTTGCTTTTGTTTTTACGGAGTTTAGCCGGTTGTACTACATCCGTACGGGTTTACACCAAATATGGATGTGTTTTATTTATGTTTGGGTATTTACGAATTTTATTATTATTATTATTACTATTATTATTACTATTATTGTTATTAATGTTTTCAATGCGAAGACACGTCCTATAAGGGTCACCGGTAACACAAATCTGGCAGGCACGGTCGCGAAGAAAATGTTACGGCGAGGGGTTAATTTGTTTCCGACGAGCAATTAGCCTCGAAACGCGCTGGGTCCCCTCGATTCCCATCGACTCGATGTTGAG